GTGGCAGACCTCTCCTGGCCCGCCTGCTGCTCCCCTCAGCAGTGTACTTCATAGATCTGCCTGTTCTGCTCCCTAGTCTGTCTCTGGTGAAACCTCTCACCACCCCTGAACCTCTGGTCTGTACCCCAGTTCTGTGTGTACAAATAAATAAACCTTTAAAATATATATATATACACACACACAGGTGCAAGAAAATGCCAAATCTAATGCCTTGAAAAGTAATTTACACCAATTGGAAACATCTTTGAATTTTAGGTATGTCTCTAAATTCAGGCATTCATTTCTAATAATGCCTACTTTCAAAGCATTTTGGTAACAGCTTAATAGATCCACAAAATGTTTATTTTGTAGTCTATTTCAGAATGTCAATGTATTTGGGGAAGAAACTGTCTTCGTTGTATTCAGCTTTACTTAATGAACACTTGGGTACCTACTATATGTGAAGAGCCTTACTGTTTGAGGACTGAAGAAAGCAAATCTTAACCTTGATGGCTGAAGATGTCTTGTGGGTCACAGAACAAATTATTCAAATGTATAAATCTAAACTTTTGGGGTAATGATTAGTACTGGCTAGTAAAAATTTAGTAATAAATGATCTGGTAAGGGTTTAATTTTTCTCTGAGTTACATTATTGGTGTTCAAAGGAAAGGGTACTAACTAAAAGATTAGTGTACCTCAAGCTAATTGTTCTTTTAGCCAAGAACTCAGTAATATTCTGACAAAATACAGTTGCCTAATTAACTCAGCTGACAAAACTAGTACCCTGCGTGTTTGTCACTCACTTCCCCAGGATGGAAGGATGTGTTGCAGGTTCTCTGGAAGAATACTCCCCCTGAGGCAGAGGGTCATTTCAGCCTCACAAATTCAATACCCTTGGGAATGAAGGTTCACAGGTTCACTATCTTCATTGTTCTTCATCCCACAGAACATCTTCCTAGAGTGCTTCAGACCATACATTAATGTATCCCTGATTTGCTTTCTGAAGTACTAGAGCCTTCTTATGCAGCTGTATAGAGCTGGGGAAGAGCTCAAGTTCAGGATAACCATAAGTGACATTTATAGTCAGGACCTTGGAAGCAATTCCAAAGCCTTTAGAATATTTGCAGAGACTGTTAACTGTTTCATTTTAGAGATAAATAATTCTCTCAGTACTGTAAATAATGATGACGTTGAAACTGATACTTTAACATTTAGATTATTAATGACTTAGTTCCATAATAGGAGCATGACTCATTAAATAAATAATATACCCTGGTTGCACAACAGGTTATATAGTGCAACACTACGAAACCAGCCACAGGGGCTTCAGTGCAAGTTCGATCCCCAGCCAGGGAGGTGACCCACATGGTGCAGCATACCTCTCCTGTCTTGCGCACTGCTCCCCTCAGCAGTATATTTCACCAGTCGGCCTGTTCTGCTCCCCCCTCTGTCTCTGGTGAATCCTCTCACCAGCCCTGTACCACTGGCCTGTACCCCCGTTCTGTAAGCATAAATAAATCTTTAAAAAATAAATACTACATATTAATGGAATGCATATCACTACATTCTTCCATTTTAACAAAAATAACCACTTGAACTAAATGAATTTTTTTAAATACTTACCATAAACTTTCAATTGGTTTAAGAGGCTTGACTTAACTTTAGCAAGAAAAAATACTTGTTCACACTTCAGGTTCCAATTGTGTTGTATCATATGAATGATATTGAGAGGGAGTACACAAATTTTTAAGATAACTTCTGGTAGCTGAAAGGTTTCTCCATTTGGAAGAGACAAGAATAAAGACACAATTACAAAACAGACTGCACTTTAGAGCCTGACATCATTGAGACATGTGGAGGAAATTCCCAGGACAGTGGGATGAGTAGAAGGCCAGAGTGATTTGGTGATTTTTCAGAGAGAGAAGGAGGATTTGGTTGAGTAGGTAGATTGAAAAAGAGTCTGTAAAGAGGAAATCATGCATAAAATCTGGAAGCCAGAGATGAATGCAGTACCCTCATTATGCTGTATTTGGGAAAAAAGTGTTTGTTTAGCAAAGAACTAAAGTAAAGATGAATTTTAATTTTTTTAAGTGCAACTTATTAGAAGAAGAAATAATTATAAGTTCTTAAGCAAGGCAATAATTTGATTTTTAAAAGAGGAAAGGGTAGAACAAAGGGAACTTTGCCAATGTTAGAGTACATTGGAGGAATCTAGAAAGAATCTTAGTCTGCTTCTACAGTATCCTAAGTATTAAGATTAAGACAACCTGGAATCAAATATTGTATCATGCAAGCGTTATAGGGATTCTTTATTATCTTGTTTTTATTTTCAGGATAAGTAAACACCTTTAAGTGTAAAATTGCTCACCCAAAGTCACACTGAGTGAGTAAGTTTGAGGGTGAGTAAAGGAAAACAAACCTTGTATTGAGCACAGTGGTCCCTTCTGCAAATTCATTAGGGACCATGACCTTTGACTTGTCTTTAAGATTCTAAAGAGGTATGAGATGAGACAGTCCTCCCCATCGCTCAAGAGGTCCAAGTTTTAAGTCCTATCCTCCAGAAAGTTTTCTCCCCTGTTAGAAAACAGTGACTTTCCCATCATAAGTCTTTTCATCTCACAGACCCAGGAAAACCCATTCATAGACCAAAGTCCTAAGTGGAACGGAACTTTCCTAACTTTTCATGGGCATGATGTTTTTGGAATTAGTGTGGGGTCCTTGGGTTCAATCTGGGAAAGATTCCCCCAGAGCTCCCCTTTCAACGTCATTCAGCAAGTTCCCAGGTGTGTTTCTCCACAAGACAGAAACTCAATTATATTTAAAGAGCAGGTTTATTAGGGAAAAGTACATAGGCACAAGCAGGCAGGAAGAGCTGTCCCAAAGGGACAGGTTTGC